TGGACATATAGGTCGTATATGCTCACAAACTAGAGGGAAATACCTTTTTAACTTTCTTACTTACTTAATCAGTAGACCCATTTGTACCTTTCGGTGTTGGGCCGTTTATAATACAATTCTCTATATTACAATATTTTACAATCTTCTGAGGCGTCCTAGCTCTTGACAAACTTTCTCCATTCCTTCCTATTATATGCCATCTGTGTTCCTTCCTGCCAATTCTTACCCTTACTCTGCAGTATCTGCGAGATGTCACTGTTCCATTCTTTAATGGGTCTTCCTCTTCTGTTCTTCCCTATTGGTTTGGCGTCCCACACTCTTTTTACTTGTCTATTAGTCATCCGGGTTAGATGTCCGAACCATGCCAATTTTTTCTCCTGATTGATTCGAGAATCGGTTTGATTTTTAGTCTTTCTCTTATTTCTTCATTTCTGATTCTATCAGTTCTTTTTACTCCGATCGTTCTTCTGAGGTATTTCATTTCTGCTGCCTGAATTCTGCTTTGATGCCTTTTGTTTAGTATCCAATTTTCTGCTCTATATGTCACTGTAGGTCTATATATTGTTTTTTATATTGTCATCTTGGTCTTTGTTGATATTTCTTTGTTATTAAGGAATCCTCTATGTAGTGCTTGGAATAGTTTTCCTGTGTTTTCCATTCTGTTGTTAAGATCGTCCTCGATGTCTCCTTTGTTGTTGATTACTGTTCCTAAGTATTTGTATGAATTTGTGTGGATTATTTTTTGTTGGTCTATCATTATTTCTAGTTGATCTTCCGTCTCTTGTTTCCTTGATATTTTCATTATCTGAGTCTTCTCTTTGTTTACGTTTAAGTTGTATTTGCTTGCTTCTAGGTTCCATTCCTCTAAGTTGTATTTCAGTTTTTCTGCTGTTTCCGCAATTAATACTATGTCTTCTGCAAATATACACATCTCAGCGTTTATCACTTGCATTCTGTTCCAACCGATGCAGTATTTCTTGAACGTTTTCTTACATTTTTTCACTATCTCATCTATTACATTTATAAATAGCACTGGGCTGAGACTTCCTCCTTGTCTAACTCCTTGAGTTGTTTCAAATGGTTCTGACTGCAGATTTGACATTCTTACTGTGTTTGTTGTTTTCATGTATATACTCTTTCTTGCTTCTATCAGTTCTTCACTTACTTGATTCTTCTTTAGGCTTTCCCATATATCTTTTCTTTTGACTGAGTCGAATGCTTTTTCCATGACTATAAAGCTCAGATATATTTCTCTATTTTTCTCTAAGGCTTTTTCTATTACTTGTTGCATGGTGAACATATGGTCTTGTGTATTGTGTCCTTTCCTGAATCCACTTTGTACGTCCTCTAATTTATGTTCTATTTCTTTTCTGATTTTTCTTTGTATTATGGTTTCGTATACTTTTGCTGCTACACATAGTAGTGATATACCTCTATAGTTCTTACAGACTCTTGTGTTTCCTTTCTTGTATATAGGTATAATTACTGCATTTGTCAATTCTCTGGGTATTACTTTTCTCTTCCATATTAGGTTATATATGTATAACAATTTTTCTTTTGCCTTTACTCCTATATATTTCATCATTTCTGGTGCTACTTCATCGCTTCCTGGTGCTTTTCCAATCTTTATCTTTCTTATTGCTTCTTCCAGTGCTTCTTTTTCTATAGTTTCTGGATTTTCCATGTTTCTCATGGATATTCGCTTGATTTCTATTCAGTATCAGCTGGAAGTGTTCCCTCCATCTTTCCATTATTGTCTTATCGTCTTTTATTATTGTTCCTTCCTTGTTCATTATTTGTTTTAGTTTCGTTTCTTTGTTGCTTCTTAGGGTTTTCAGTGTTCTATAAAATAATTTTGCGTTTTCTGTGCTGTTTTCTTCCATTTTTTCTCCGAATTTTTCTCAACTTTTCTTTTTCTCTTTCTTAACCATCTCTTTAACTTTTGTTCTTTGTCTCTTATAATTTTCATATTTTGGGTGTGTTTTTGTCCCCATCTTCCTCGTTCCACCAAGATGTACGTCTCCCTCTGTTGTTATTTCTTGTAGTTCCACATATTGATTTAGCTGTTTTTATCATCGCATTTTTAAATTTTCCCCATTCTTTTTCTATTGTTTCTGTTATTTCATGTTCATTGTCCATCACTTTCTCTAGCCCTTCTGAGTGTCTGATTTTCGATGTTTCTTCCCTTAGTTTATAAATTTTTATTATTTCTTTGTGTTTTTTGTTGATGTTCTCATTTCTTTTTATTTCTTTTCTTTTGCATTTGAATGTGGTTTCTAGTAGATAGTGGTCACTACCAATTTCATAACTCCTTTTCACCCTTACGTCTCTTATCCAGTTCTTCTCTGTTTTTTGTACTATAGTATAGTCTATAATAGATTGTTCATCGCTTGATTTGACTTCTCTTGTGATCTTGTGTATCTTTTTATGTTGGAAGTGTGTGTTCATAATCACCAGGTTATTGTCTAGACCAAATTCGAGTAGTAATTTTCCTTTTTTTAATTTCCTTATCTTTTTAAAATAAATTCAAATAGGTGTTAACTAAAACTAAGAATCTACAAGAAAAGTGCTAACTAGTCTTAGAACTAAGAATCTGTAGGAGAAAGTTATTAGTTATCACACCTAAGACTAATTAAGCAAAAAAAGTAAAAAAAAAAGTCCCAAAATTTCGAAAAAAGGTGAAATTTCTGTGCAAGTAAAGTCGATTTCGTTTAAAATGTGATAGATGTTGTCGTGGTGACTTCGGGAAGAAGCAACAAACACATGTAACGAAATATCGACACAAAGCAAGTTATTTGTTAGAAAGTCGCTGAAAGAAATAAGATCCGTTCAGGAACTTAGGGAATCTGAAAGAGAAATAATTTTTAGTCTAAATTTATAGAAAAATACCAAATAAATAAATATGAAAACATATTCTAGGTTCGTTTATGAACTTAGAAAAATCTGAAAGAGAAAAATGAAACAGCAATAATTGCGAAATTATTCTAAGGTAAAATTCCCTGAAAATAAAAAATAAATCAAGTAAGAAAACTATTCTAGAAAGTTCGTTTAAGAACTTAGAAAAATCCTGAAAGAAATAACCAAATAATTCAAATTATTCCAAGTTATTAAATAAGAAATAAATATCTTACCAAAATTTCTTCCAAGTTGAAAATGCCCTAAAAATAGAAGAAAAATATGAAATCGTATTAAGTCAAAAATACGATTTAATTCGAAATAAAATATTACACGAGAAATATTCTAAGTCGAAAATGCTGAAATAAATGTAATTAAATACAAATAAGTCTCGCTAGAGAACTTAGAAAAAATCCTGAAATAAAGGAGAACGGTTAGATGCAAAAAAGGCAGAGTTGCTGGGAAGTAAGTCTACCAGAAGGTCTCTAGTGCCAAGAAGGCTGGTTCTGCGGATTCCTGTCCAGACCAGAACGAACTTTTGGCCGTCGTGCACCTATACTTATATGTAATTAAGTAGGTCAAGTGCTCCATGGCGCTCTGTCATTGGAGCTTGCACGACAGCCAATGCTCAATTTCGGACAATACCATTGGCTGCAATTACGGTTGCAATTTGACCAATCGTAAAGCTGGAATTGAGAGCTATTGGCGACAAAAGAACATTTCCTTCTACAAAATATCGTTCTCTTTCGCAAAATCCTGCACTATGTTTACTGGTAAGCAGATAAACGTCTTTCTTGTCCTTATAGCGAACTAGAAGGAGCATATCCTTGCGAACAAAACATAATTGTTGCCTATCTAATGAAACAAATGTTAATTCTCTTGGAACGCTCCTATTTGGTCGAAAGTGCCTGTAAGGAAAGTATTTTGTGTCAATAAAAACTCACAAAGACGAACGGATGTATACCAATTATTTACAATCACTTCACGATTACTGTGCGGTAGGTTTTGTTAAAAATAAACTACTATTTTCTCGAAAAAAGAAAGGTTGTCTCTTCCTGAACTGTGCAAAATGTCATTTATATCCTAACCGATATATATACAAAAATTCCAGGTGTATCCTCGAAGTTCAGACGCTCTGGAACATAAGGAAAATATTTTGATGCCAAATCGACTTCTTTTGCTTTTTAGGTAGTGTCGAAAATGGAGTCGACCGTTATACAACATAAGTTGCTCATCTATTGCGAAAACATCCTGAGTCCACTAAGTTTTGACAAGTGGACTATGATTAAAATATTTATCAGCTCTCTGATCGGTCCATTCGCATATTTTTGTTAACAATACTGTTACTTACAAACGACTCAAAACAGTTTACAGTTTCCACAAAATCTTGAAAGTCAATAACTGAGCGAAAGTTATTGTCAAAGCGAAATTCGGGCATATCTCTTGGAAGCGTATTATCAAGCGGATCCGTAACGGCTCTCCAGCCGCTCATTTGTACCACATCAATGACTTCTTCCTCATCCGTTGATGAATAATTGCTGTCTTAATCGCTCTCTAAGTCACTATTAGACATTTCATAACTCAAATCACTTTCACTCTATCCGTTTCAATGGATCCGAATCCATTTTTACTAATATAAAACACAATTACGTACCTAATAGGCAAGAAAAAGAACACGTGCTCCCTCAGCAAACTCTAAACGTGCACTCAATACATATCTTGCCGCTGTGTTGGGCTGCCACCCATCGACCTTGAGCTGTTTACATTATTCTGGGAATTTAAAAAAATGGCTAACCAGAATATCGCCGTACGGATATCTATGTCCTTCTGCGATCCAAATTAATCTACAGAACCTTACACCACTTTTACAGAGTGCATTAATATCCCCTATATGAATATCCGTATGTAGATATCGTGGTAAAGTTAGCCATACCTAAAAATATCCATACGTAGATAACGATGGGGCGGAAGGGGTTAATATTAATATCACACTTTATGCAGTATAAATTCAGTAAGGCACATATGTCGGTAAAATACTTTAATTTTAAAACATGAATTATTTGTTTTCTCACATATCCCTATTATTTAAATTATATATGTTTTAGAGCATATTAGGAGAGTTCAACAGAGAACAAGAAGCGTTCATGAAATCTCAGAATGAAAACTCTGCCTCACCATTGCCCCCATGGGTAGGTTGTGCTAATGAAGAGGCCCTCAAGGATGAATGCCTCAGTTTGTCCATGGACCGTAGAAATTTCGTTCGTAGTCCACCAGCTGGTGTAGACTTCCAGTTCGACTACCAAGTGTCGTACCCAATTGCCATGGCGATAATGGAACAAGACCCCAACCTGGAGAAAATGCGTTACGAACTTGTGCCTAAAGTGTAAGTATTAATAAATATAAAGTAGGTCTAGAAAGTATGTTAAAATTTAAGAAATAATAAGCATTTAAATATTTTCAATAATACAGTTTAATGCAACATAAAATCGTGGCTTGGTTTACAATCTTCTTCCATTCCTGTTTGTTCTTCGCTTTTTCTTCCAAATTGCTTACATCAAGATATCTCAGGTCGTCATTAACTTCATGACTCCATCTGGTCCTTAAACCTTCATTTTTTACCACATATTATAGCGCTTACGATGATTTTTGGCATTCTAACTTGGGTAATTATTTGGACATGTCCTAGCCATCTAAGTCTTTACGCTCTTACCACTGCAATTATATTAGGCTCTTTACGATTAATTATAATTATTTTAACTCTTTGTTTGTTCTTTGTGTCCACTTATCAGTTTTTCGCTAAATATCCTTCGAAGTATTTTTCTTTTCCATACTTGTAACATTGATCGCTCAGTTTTTTTCTTAGTCCAGGTTTCTGAAGCATACATAACTATTGGTATTATTACAGTTCTAGACTTTTTAATTTAGCTGCTTTGGTTATATTTTTCCTGATGATATTCTTTTGTCTGTCTGACGTTACTCTAATTATTCAAATTTATGCATTTTTCCTTCATCCGTTGTTATCATTAAATATTGTCCCTGTTTAAATTATTTGTCCGTCCATTCCATGTAATTAGTTTTTGTTTATTTTATTTATATCGAGTCTTTTTCTCGAGCTACTTTTTCTAGTTGCTTCAATACTTCTTTTAATTCTTTCTTGCTTCTGGACAGAATAACTACATCATCTGCGAATGCCAAACATTGATGTTTTTTAGGATATATGTGACCTGATCAGATGAGCCTCATTTATTACCATTTCCAATACTACATTAAATAACAAGGATGACAACGGATCTTCTTGTCGTACTCCTTCTCTCACTTCAATTTTTTCTGTTAGTTTACTACTTACATTCACTTTATTTTCTGTTTTCGTAAGTGGGCAATTCTAAGATAACTTGAAATGTTGAACCAGAAAAATAGAAAGACATTGTTTTTTCTTTCTTGTTAAATTTGGCGATAGAAATATAGAAATATATAATTTTTGTTTGTTTTTTATTATTACGATCGTAACATAAATGAGTCACATATGGTACTGATTAAATAAGGAAATACAAACACACACTAAATAAACGTAAAACTACTAAAAATATATGGTTTATTTATCTCTAAAAACAAATAATACGTTCCCAATCAAAAATGGACTTATAAATTATGAAAAATACTGATTTTGAAAAGTGGTAACATAAGTAAGCTAAAGTATTGTGAAAATATTAAAAAAGCTGTATGTTTTCCGAAATCGTTTCCCCAAAACTGTAACGTCCCTATGAGCCTAATATGAGCTTGTGGTAAAACAAAATAATATTTTCAAATGTAATAACATTCTTGTCTTCAATATTAGGAAAAACAAATTCATTTCCTTTTTTCCTTAAACATCTTATAAAATATGAAGTATCATCATTGACCTCGAGAATAACACCAACGAAATGCTTTTTGGTTTCATGTTTTGTTCCTTCATCATAAGTGAATTTGCAAACAACAAATTTGCCCACGGTCAGGCACTTGGATAGGTCTCTTATTGATGATAGTGGAATATCATCTTTCAGTCAAAAAGCTTAGCTGTATTTTTTTCGTGTAGCGGAATATAATTTACATCTCCAACAGTTGCTTCCTCTTCATTTTCTATTGGTAGCGTATTCGACTCAAAAACTTTAACTTCTTTGCAGTTAAAACACATTAAATCCAAAACCAGCAATTTTTTGCACAAAAACTGCAAAGAGATTTTGTTTATGACCAACTGACAAAACTTGATGGACTTTCATTATTCCTGGAATTTTCATTATTTGATTGAGAGTTTTTTCGTGTTCTATAGATGTTTTGTCATCCTCAGTAATAAAAAACATTTTTATGGCTTTGGATTGGTCTTGTACCAGTTGAAAGAAAGCCTAGCATCCCTCACACCGTATCCCCTAGTAACAAGATTATCTGCAGTTCTTTTTACAACAGCACCGATTTCATCTGGCGCTCCTTTTCCATGGTCAGCTTCTGAAAAATTCCAAGTATCACACCTGAATCCAATTTTATGAAACAGAATATTAAAGAAAAAAAAATTGTCTTTGTTTTTATAATATTGCGAGGTTGCACACTGCTGACGGATCATGTCTTCTCGAATCAGATACTGTGCAGTAAGACTGGTGTTCTCCATTTTCCCGATAGACGACTACTGTGTGCAAGGTAGCTTGATTATGAGAGGCACCAAAATGCATAGCTTGAATTTCTTTACCCATTTTACATAAGCAATTTTCTGAAAAATCAATGTTAGCAACTTCATCGTAGGATAATTCTGATTTGCATTTTTTGTACTGGTTAAATTGATGCCTGATTCGAAATACGTGTGGACAGAATTGTTCGTTAAATTCTTTGTTAAAACCCTCAATTAAATCGAATAAGCTTCCCTCTTCTTTAACTTTTACTGTCTCTAAAAATTGTAATGTTTTTTCTTTTTTTTCTATTATATTTCTTTCGGTTTTCCAAGCAAACCATGTAACTTGCTTGGATGAATATACATTCTGGCTAACCACTTTTTTATCCTTACAAATTGGACATTTAATAATCATACATAATAACGAATTCACATGGCATTTGACAGTTTCACAGAGCCCTTCTAATTCCACTGCACCAACAATTTTTCTCTAATTAAAGTGTTCAGTTTTTTTTGTAGATTGTCATGTTTTTTACATAAACATGAGTCACGTTCTGATAATTTTGGTTGCTACCACCAAAATGGACGCCATTTAAAAAAGTTGCTGTTTGCACACTTTATGTTAAATTCCTTGCAAAATTTTTGATGAAGACTATTGATTGACTGCAACAAAAAATCTTTTGTGTGTTTTAACTCCTCGAAAAGTGATTGGTTGTTTTTTTCTAGGCGTTTGTTGGCTATTATCATCTTGACCAAAAATCTTCTTTACCTGTAAGCATAATTTACTAAGCCGCTTTCTCTGAGCATATTTTTTTGTATCATCGGATCTGAATCCCATTTTCTTAGAAGCCAAAATCACAAGTTTATATTTTTTTAAGTTTGGTCCTTTACAAACTTGTGAGAGTGTTTTCTTTAATTTTTCATGCATACTTCTTTTGTAAGTCGTTTTTAATTCTCCAAGAAGGACGACTTGAAATAACAATTTTTGTTTCACCGATTTTGAAATTTCTTGGTCTTTAAGTTCTCGATTGAGTTTAGATAGAGGAGCTGAGATGTACTAAGTTTTTCAATTCTTTTTCTTTAACGCGATATAGTCTGGCATCTTTTAATTCCTTTTTTAGCCTTGCTATTTTTCTATAAGCTGCTGCTCGATCTCTTCGTACTTTCTTTCTGCCTTCTGTAGATTCATTCTGTAGATGCATTGACTTGTAAAACTGGGTAATTCGCAGGATGGGCTACCCGGTGGTGTATTGTTTACAATAGTTTCAATCTTCTCCCACGAAATTTCTTATTTTCACGATATTTTCGTTGAGTTTCTTTTCAGTATTTACAAAATAATATGTTACCATGGATGTGGTAACATAATCGAGGATAACATATTTGACATTTTACAATGTATATTTTATACTTGCCGCCAAATTCATTCAGATGTTGACGGCTGCTTAACCAAAAGAAGCATGCGTATGTAAGGTTATGTTTTACGACAATGTATAGAATAAAACATTATTTTAAATATTTTTTAACTTCGTAAATAAATTCAATGGTTTATTAATTAATGTTTATAACCAAAAGTCCTTATTTCTTCTTCAAACAATTTAAAAAACCAATATTTACAACTTCTTATGGGACAAATACACACAAATTAGAAATATTTGGAAAGGTTTTTTAAAAATCTTCGACCATTGTGGCGTCATAGCTTAGGTAGTCCATATTTCTTGGTCATCAAATATTATTTTTCCTTCTTTCATTCTTTCTACATCTTTGTAATAACTAGGCTGCGGTTTATATTACCTTTTTTAATTTTTAATTCCTTGATATAAATTACTAATTAGATTATTTTTATAGTTGTCCTCTATATCGTTCAACTTATCTTCATAAAAAACAGCGTTACTTAATGAGGTGTCTCCATTTTATGAACTTTAAAATAGATCAAATTAGGATTTTCTAGGTAACTAGGTTTTTTGGAACATTCAAAAATCGAAACACCTTAAAACCCCAAAAACCATCAATTTAAGGGTTTTTGTCAGTTTTTCGGGTTTAAATATATTTTTTGAGGTCAATACAACCTCCAATAATTTTTTTAATATTTTAATTTTTTATTTTCTTTTTTGATATATTTTTTTTAATATGAACTAGAGACGCATTTGATTAAGATTGTATCGGTCTTAAAAATACTGTTGACCAGCAAAAACACGCAAGGACCTTAATGATTATAAAAAAAAGACATGTTTTTGGGTGGTTTCAAGGAGTTTTACAGGATTTTTGAATGTCCTAAAAGACTCATTTGGTTCAAATTATATATCCCCTATAAAAAGCCTTGATTTGATCTATTTTGATGTATATAAAATGGGGAAAATCTCCATAAACACATAAACAACAGTTTTTCGGGTTTTTGAAGGTGGCTTACAGAAAAATCTGGAAAAATCAGAAATATACTGTTTGATAAAATACATAAAATAAAAAATAGATTTGCAGCTATCTTCGAAAAAAATTACACCCTTTTTTACAAAAAATGCGTTTTAGGTTATGTACACCCAACCTACGGGGATATAAAAATAGAAAAGTTTTGTAAAACCCTCGACTATACCTGTAAATATTTTAAAATTTTTAAATTGATTCTAAACTACCAAAAAAAGACGTTTTTGGTGGTAAGGCATATGGGTGGCGGGCTAAATGGGTCTTATTTATTACTCAGATAAACAATGATAAAATGACGAAAAAATTTATTGGGGTTGTATCGATTTCAAAAAACATGATGACCCCGCAAAAACTCACAAAAATCCATAAAAACCTTGAAAAAAACATGATTTGTTGGTGGGTTAAAGGTGTTTCGCCTAATTTTTGACTGGCCCAAAACGACCTATATATAATCTATAAAAAACCTTGATTTCATCTATTTTACAGTTTGTAAAATGGGAAAAATCCCCCAAAAAAACCTAAAAACCAGTTTTTCGGGTTTTTTTAAGGTAGCGCACTCACGGAAAAAAATTTGGAGAAAATCAGAAATATCGTTTTTGATTCAATACACAAAATACAAAAAAAAAACTGCACCTGCAGCCATCTCAAACAAAAGTTGACGCTTTTTTCGAAAAAAAAGCATTTTTATGTTATGTACACTCAAGCTATCTCTCTATAAAAAATACACATGTTTTGTAATAGCCGCAACTATGGGTTTGAATTTTTAAGATTTTTAAATAGATTTAAACCCATCGAAAACAATAAAAACGAAAAAATCACGTTTTTGGGGTAAGTGTGGGGCAGGGTGTTGACGGATCCAAATAGCTCTCGAACGTAAAAAAAATGAATTATGAGAGTGTGGGCATTTTGCCAATCTTAACAGACGATCTTTAAAAGGTAGTAAATATCGTTCAAATGTATACAGTAGATCCATAATATGATGAACCGACCAGGTTTTTTACTACCATTCAACAAAATTACAGCGTTAGTGTTGCAATGCTGTGTTGCGCTTTGGTAGAAATAACCATTATTTCTGTATTTTCTTACCATGTTAATTTTGTTTTTCAGAATTTTAGAAGAAGATTTCTGGAGGAATTATTTTTATCGTGTAAGCCTAATTTGTCAAGCCAATGAATTATCTTTTATGTCGAGAGAAGGAGATAGTCAATCTGCTACTGAAACTTACACCTCTGATCCACTCATAGGTAAGCGATTTATGTCGTAGTAGTTACCATTTCTCTTATTTTTATTGAAAGTTGGTCATAAGTAAAACTCCAACCTTAAAGTATTCTAAATATTTTAGTCTATAAATATTTTATTAAATATTATAGAATTAAGAAATTAAAGGTTTAAGTTATTACAATAAAATATGTTTTCCAATTAGTATAGAGTATTTACTAAGTTTCCATCATATGAGAATAATTAAATTACTTAAATAGATTGACTATTTGTAAGAAATAAATATTGTCATTTAAATGCAACTGTGATAGATAAATAAAAATCTGTGCCCAACGGACCTGCTTCCAAGCCATATTCTCTCTCTCTCTCTATCTCTCTCTCTCTCTCTCTCTCTCTCTCTCACACACACACACACACACACACTCACACACACACACACACACACACACACACACACACACACACACACACACATAAACTTTTGAACATAATTAACGTACATCACTATTAAGTTTTTAAAATTCTTTTGTTAATAAAAAGTCAGGAATGAGTTCAATAATCAAATAAAAACATATCTGAACCTTTTGGTTTCTAGTTAATTTGGTATTTTGCTGGTTTCCTGATCCTAATTACGTTTTAGTTAGTTAGGGGTTATGAATTACTGATAATGCATCTTTTAACATTTTCTTACTAAGTAAAATTACAATACTTTATCTTTTGAAACATAAAAAAGCTGTAAAATGGCGATTTCTAAAACTTGTAAAATTAATTTGTTGCTTCAAAAACTGCAAAATAAGGCAAACACGTTATTGGTTTATAACTATTGTAAAAATCAACCTAGGCATTTGATATTCACCCCCCCCCCCCTCAAGTTGTGTATCTCAAAGTTGTGGTCTTTAATAAATCCTCAACATACGTATATGTAATATTATTACTTAACTTATTATTTTTACTTAAAATTAAGTAATATTAAATTATTTTTTAAAGACAATTAAAGAAAGTGTATTTTAACTTTTCCTATGGGTAACAATATGATAGTATTACAAAAAATATCGACTTTTGGGGGATTTTTTCTCATAAATTGTTTTAACAAATTATACTGTTTATTAGTTAATGAATTTATAAATAAATTACATGTTTGTAATGTACGCAAAGAGTACATACGAATTAAAAAAAGAAAAATTAAAATCCGTTGAGTAGATCCGAAGATATAAACAATTCTACTTTTCCCCCTCCACTCGCCACTATTCATCTTAATTTAAACCATATTTTTGACAATTCACAGAGGATTCTATTATAGTGCAATATTTATACAACTTTTTATACAAAAACTTCGAATCCTTCTCTTTCAAATACCGAAAATTGCGTTCCTTAATTGTTATAAACAAATTAGCTGTTAATTAAAAAAAACTAACTTTGTCCCAAAACTATCGTAGAACAACTTTTTTCTAAATGCTTGTAAAAATGTCAGCTTTTCAAATATGAAAAAAGATTTTATCAACGAGCAATAGTATAAAAGTTATTCTAAATGTTTATAAATCAATAAAATAATAAATTAATGTATCTTCATTATTTTCTGTCTAATGTGACTGCAAAAAAAGGTCTCTGGGATAAACAAATAGAATAACAAAATCCGTAAACTAATTTTCGAAATCAAATTCAGATTTTTGCTTTAATCTGTGCCTTCTAAGAATTGCAAGGCAAAACAGACGTTGATAAAGATGTTATTAGAGACATGAGGAATCTAAAATTTGCATTCCACGTCATATCTCCTTAACTAAGCAAAAATCCTTAGCGAATTGGTTTCTTGTACTCGTTCAGAGTAATCGGAATAAAAAGGAAAAGACAGTTAAGATTTAATTTCACGTATAGTGCGTTAATGTAGCCGTTTGTACGTATTTCGGCCTAATAGGCGTCGTCAGAACGGTAATTCATAGTCGCTCTGAACGTGAAAATAAATCTCTTCTGTCTTAGGAAGCAACTCTAACATGGCTTCTAATGAACGCAAATAGCGACATCCGACATTACAATCCGTAAACTAATTTTCGAAACCAAATTGCAAAATTTTAGATTCCCCATGTCTCTAATAACATCTTTATCAACGTTTGTTTTGCCTTGTAATTCTTAGAAGCCACAGATTAAAGCAAAAATCTGAATTTGGTTTCGAAAATTAGTTTACGGATTTTAATATCAGATGTCGCTATTTGCGTCAATTCGAAGCCATGTTAGAGTTGCTTCCTAAGACAGAAGAGATTTATATTCACGTTCAGAGCGACTATGAATTGCTGTTTTGATGGAGCCTATTAGGCCGAAATACGTATAAGCGGCTACATTCACGCACTATACGTAAAATTAAATCTTAACTGTGATTTCCTTTTTAAATAGAATAACTTTTAAACTAATAAATGGATCTATCTGAAATTTTGAGGGTTTATTAAAGACCACAATACCCAACTTTGAGGGGAATAAAAAATGCCTTGGGTTGATTTTTTACAAAAGTTATAAACAAATAACGTTTTTGCCCTATTTTACAACAAATTAATTTTACTTTTAAAAATCGCCATTTTACAGCTTTTTTTTGTTTTAAAACATTTTGTAATTTTATCTCAAATATTAAGCTTTTCAGTTGTAAGCAAAAAATCAAAAAAGTGGCATTTCTTACACTAAATTGTTAATAGTTACAAAAAGGTTTTCTTTATATAGGCCGATAATAACTAAAAAAATTGTCAGATCTGGATTAGTCACAGTCCCGAGAGAAATCTTATTTCCCCAGACTTATAAGTCCAGTTATAAGTCTAAAAAGCACAGAACCGTAAAGAGTGGCGAAAAATCTGAGAGACATACAGTGGGTGATCAAATTATTATAATCACTTCAAAAAACTTTATATTTTACTGTTTAATAAAGAATAAAACTACATATGAGTGTCTAATAATGTGAATATAATATAAAAATAGATCATAAACACGTTCTTTTACAAAATTTTAAAATATTTTTTTCTTTGACCTTAAATAACATTTTTTTTTAATATTTTGTGTGACCTCCTTTAGCTTCGATGACAGCTTTGATCCTCCTTGGCATGCTTTGAATGTTTCTCAGGCAGTTTTCTTTTATTTTATCGTTTCTGTGCCAGGTGGAAATGAGTCTCTCAATTAACTGCTGCTTATTTGTGACAATTTCCTGGGCAACCCCCCTCTTCATAAGCTCCCATAGATTTTCGATCGGATTGAGGTCTGGGGAATTACCTGGCCACTTCAGTACTTTAATTTTCTTTTTTTCCAGGTACGATGTTACTCTTTTTGCCTTATGGCACGGTGCTGAATCGTGCATAAAGGTAAAATCCTCCGATTCGCCAAACCAGTCTTTGATTTGTGGCATGAGTTTTTTTTCCAGAACTTCAAATATACTGATGTTGATTCATCATTCCATTTACAATGTACAGCCTCCCTGTGCCCTTACTGCTGATCACAGACCATACCATAATCTTGAGAGGATGCTTTTCTCGTTCCACTATGCAATCCTTGTGATATTTTTCACCCACTCACTTTCGGACGAAGGCCGACTTATCCATGAGTATCTCCACTGTAGACTCATCGGAGAAACAAACCTGTGAATAAAAAAAACTATAAGATATTTTTTTTAGGATAAAAACAGTGGTTATAGTGATTTAAACTTTAGTAGTGACGTAATTTACCTTATTCCAATCCTCAATTGTCCAATTTTGGTGTTCTTTGGCCCATTCCAGTCTCTTTTTCATCATTACGATGGTCAACTTTGGTTTTTTGGCAGGGCGACATGATTTGAAACCTTGCTCAGTAAGCCTTCTGCGGACTGTCATGTCAGAAACTGGCATACCAGCTTCACGAATAAGTCCCGTGAGGATTCTTCTTGGCTTCTTTCTATTGTTTACGGATATATCCCTCATTTTTCTTTCGTCTCTGGGTGTAGTGACATGCTTTCGACCACATTTTTGGGCACGCTGGTGAATCAGGGGTTTGTTGGTTTCAATTTTTTTCTTGATATTGCTCACTGTTGCTTGCGCTACTTGGCATTGTTGAGCTATCTGACGTTGGGAAAGCTTTGTAGTCAATAAAAGTGTCTTTATTTCCACCATTTTAGACACAGGGACGTCTTTAGCCTTACCCATTATGATTTTCTTCTCAAAAATCGAAATGTTTTGAAAATGTCTTTAAAATTAAAACTGATATTCTTTTTTCACTCACAATCACCACTAATAAATTAATAAAACATACTACAAAGATAAAACGATACTAATCTTTCAAAAACAATACAAAAACATACAAATTCAGTTGTAAACTCCAAGCGTAAATTCACCACAATGTGTATGTTGTCACGTAATTTGACACAAATGACAGTTCTAGAGCGGTAAACGTCAAAAAAGTAAGGTTATCAGTGGCAAAATATATTGGCATACTTTAATCGTATATCAGCATATAATTTTATTATAAAATTTCTGAACAAATATGAAAAACTTAAATTTTTGTGACTGATCATAATAATTTGATCACCCACTGTATGTCCAGCAGTGGACAGAAGAGGTTGCATGATGATGATAAGTCCAGTTTATAAGAGCAGAATGTCTAAAAAACATATCGTTATTATAACGAGTAGGTATTGACTTACTAGTTGAAGTTTGCACGTTAAAATAACAATTACTTAAAATTTTCAGGGTGTGTACAAATCCTACTTATGACACTACAATAAAAATTATAATTATCTCTGATTGTTATTAAGAAATATTAGCGGTGAGTTAATTTTGTCTAAAACAGATATTACTAGTATAAGAAAATCAAGTGTGATTATTTGAGATCATTGAAGGTCACTTAGTAAAGAAAACAATTACAGTTAAATGAATATGTATTTTGATTCTTAAAGTAACCAAATACTAAATATTTATGACCAACTTTCTTGAAGCAAGAATAAGAATAGTCGATTTCAGAAAAGTACAAGCCTGTGTTGAGTGGTATCATATGATTTCAACTAAAACCATACCAAATGTGATACGAG